TTTCATACACACACTTGCTGCTGAAAAAAAACATAATGGGACAATGCCCCTTTCCCCCCTTCCCCCCCCCCTCCTCTTGAGAGGGGGGAGGAAGAAGGGAATGTTGGGGGACCCAGCAGGGTAGGGCAGGATGGGGCCGAGCGGGGAGGGGGCTTAAGGAGGCAGAGAGGTGGACGAGAAGTTGCGTATAACAAACTAACTTTCTGCAAGGAATATGAGTGTGAATGATATACAGAAAACCAAGTTGCGAGATCACACAGATGTCCAAGTAGTCGTGTACAAGCAGAGAGCACAAATGCACCGAGAATCCATCCAAATAGAGCAATACAATGAAGTAATGAGACAATGTTCAAGCCCTTAGGCCACACCAACACAGTATCCAATGTCGCTCCTCTCTGTCTGGTGCCCAGCGCCCAGCCTACTCTACTCTACTATCCTACCTACAGCTGTATTCACGCAACAGGCTCACTTCGACTCTCGAAGACCAATGTACATGATGTCAACACCATAGCCGACCTCACTTCATGCACCAGGTACGTATCTCGTCACCCTCATCAGACCTTGACCACCCACACACTCACCTCCTTCCTGAAGACCACCAATCGCCCTGCTCACCCCCTAGATCCCTGCGGCCCGGACCTTGACCACCCACACACTCGCCTCCTTCCTGAAGACCACCAATCGCCCTGCTCACCCCCTAGCGCCCTGCAGCCCGGCTATGGCTGCTAGCGCTCCGCTGCCTAGCAACGCCCCACTTCACCACTCACGAGCCCGCACGCGCCCTGGCCGCGGCGCAGCATGCCGTGTCTCGCGCAGCAACGCTGCAGCGTGACCACATTGCCTGTGTGGGCCACAATGTCCTTGCCCTGGCTGCTCTCCTTCCTATATGGAAGTGGCAGCCCCTGCATTGCTGCGTGTGGCCTGGCTGGAAGCTTCCAGTAGCTTCCTGTTGGGCCCCAGTTCCTGCGCCCAGGCCAGAGACTACAGTTGAGGGCCTGGGCCCTTTACAGTTGGTCATGGCCTGAGTCTCCGGACTTGGGCCGTTCGCTGCATTTGCACAGGACCGCGGGGTAGGTACGTCGACAGTACTTCTTTTGCACAGGCCTGTGGCTACTTCGTGATGTATCGGGCCTGCTTTGTGTGTATGTCCCCAGGCGCAACTGCCAAGGCCTGGGCCAACTGTAGGACGCAGCTTAGTGAGGCTCGGGCGTCCACTCAACCAACTGGCGGGCTGCAACAGCCTAAATACCCTTGTATGAAAATGTCGAGTTTTGGCCTCTGATGAATATTCAGGCCCGCCTTCGCTTAGGGCGGGCACTCGGCTTGCTGGGGGGCTCTGCCCAGAACATGTGTTTACCCTATAAGGGCCCCTGTGAGGGCTCGTTCCTCGCATTTCAAAATATTAATTGTATATGTTTTGGTGAAACTCCGACGAAACAGTTTGTCACAGCCCCATATTGTCACAAACTATTGACTAAGAGCGTAAGCACATGAAGCAGAAGAAGAAATAAGATGAGCGAAGAAAAGAAAAATGAAAGGACAGACAGGCAAAGAGACAGACAAACCAGAATGACACAAAACAGTGTCCTCTTATTCTTTGTTT